CGCATGCGGACACCGCCACAAGGGCCTTCGGTGGAGCTCTCTACGGGGCCACGGACACGGCTTCAGGGGCCTTCGGTGGAGCCCCATATGGGGCCATGGAGCGCTGTCTTGGGTGGGGGAAACGCATGCGGACATCGTCACTAAGGCCTTCGGTGGAGCTCAGTATGGGGCAACGAACTGGTGTACTGGGTGGGGGAGACGCATGCGGACACCGCCACCGGGGCCTTCGGTGGAGTTCCCTGTGGGACCACGAAACGTTGTACTGGGTGGTGGAAACGCATGCAGACACCGCCACTGGGGCCTTCGGTGGAGCCCCCTATGGTACCACGAAGCGCTGTATTAAGTGGGGGGGACGCATGCGGGCACGGCCACTGGGGCCTCCGGTGGAGTTCCCATTGGGGCCACGAAACGCTGTAGTGAGTGGGAGTGGGGTGACGCATGTGAACACCGCCACTGGGGCCTTCGGTGGAGCCCTATGTGGGGCCACGAAGCGTTGTACTGTGTGTGTGTGTGGGATATGCTGGGTGGGGGTGACGCATGCGGGTGCAGGGGCCGAATTGCTGCTGTGATGCAACATCGGTCTCGTAGAACAAGAGGGCCTCCCACGATGGCGTCCACGTAGCCCAGCTCAGCCAGCCCCCAAAGTTTCTGGAAGGTCTCGGGGAGCATGAGGTCCCCAAAGGGGGTCTCTGGCCAGGTCGCACGAGAGCACCATGATCTTCAGGTCGTGCTCGGCCGCCAGGGCCGTGGACCACTCCTAGAAATCCACAGGCCGACGCGGGCCCGCGAACAGCTGCATTATCACGGAAACCTCGGGGTCCTCTTTCTTGGCTTCTAGAGCCTTCTGAACCCAATCCTCGATTCGTCGATTGTGTACCCCTCCTCTGGATCCTCGGTCTCCTCTGGCTTCCCAGACTCCCGGACATTCATGGCGACGGCCCAATCCTCGTCGTTCTTACCCGTCAGTTGGCCACCCTCGTCGACGTCATAGTCCTCCCTAGAGTCCCCACGCCACAGGCCACAGCTGCGGACCAAAGCCCGTCCTCTGCAGGTCATGTTGATAGTCATAAGGATGTGGACGTTGTGGGGTTCCCCCATGACTAGACGTCGCCACACAGGGTAGATCCAGTCGGAGGCCAGCGCTCTCTCTCTGGCTTCCCACGGCAGCACATCCCAGATCAGGCCCGTTCGGACAGGCGGCTCCGCTTGCCAGGCCCACATCCACTCGGGAACCTCCACGGACGTGAAGGTATTGCTCTTGTCGAAAGCGGCAGCGCATAGGAAATCATGGGGCACGTGCAAACTGGCCAGGGCGGCCACGCCACGGAGGCCGTGCTCCTCTCTCTTGCGGACGTCTGGGAACATATAGTTAGCCATCATGATGATCTCACGCTGTTTCTTGGGGTCCTTCTTGGGCACCACGGAGAACCCCGCAACAGCCCTGACTCCTCCTCTAAAACTGAACTTTCAAGGTTTGGGGCCATATCCTTTCTTAGAAAGTAGCGTGCATATTCCACCTCAGATCCCCCGACGAAACCGAAACGCTGTTCCAACTCCTGGAAAATCATTGGCTCCTGGACTCAGGTACAGCAACAACATGGGACCCGTCGGCGTAGAAAGAGGCCTCCTCGGAACTCGGGGCGTCTAACATACAGACTCGTCGGGGATCAGAGGGTTCGTCTGCTGCATCAGCACGCAAACTCTCGTGAGCAGCCTTTCGCTTGGAACCTAGGTAGGACACGGCCGCATCCTTCACCAGCTCATTCACGGCGCGGGCGCCAGTCGGGCAATCGCCCCGGCGCGCTTCTCTGATCCTCGCCGCCTCGCGTAGAGCCAGACAATGGACCCGACTGGATGAACTCATTGGCCAAGCGCCACAGGGCAACCTTCTTGAAATGTTTCCAGCGGTTGCGGCTCGATTCGCTCTGGGAGGGAATCGGCTTGGCCACCAGGGGGATCGGGTACGGCATAGCACCAGGTGCCGTGCTCAGCAGCTCGCGCAGCCCGTCGGTCTCCCCCAGCACCGCAGTGGAGACCCATCGGCCGCGCTCATCGCCCCAGCCAGTCGCTGCTAACTTGGCTGAGGCTCTCGGCAACTGTCACTTCCCGGCCTTCCTGCCCCCCGCGGGGGCAGGCTCATTCTTCTTGTTGTAGCGGTCCTTCTCCTTGCCCTTGCCGTCGCCCTTGCCCTTCTTGCGCGCCTCCGTGGCCTCCCTCTCGTTCCGCTGGTGCTCCGCCTTGCTGTGCGACGTGGCGCTCTGGACCAACCAGCTCGGCGCCACGTCCGTCTGGCTGCCAGGCGGGACGCGCCCGACGCATGCAGGGCCCCTGTGCGATCTCCTGAACGACTCTCATACATAGATATGCCGCCAACCTGCGCAACGACAATTCCATCAGATCGCTCGTACCCAAAAATTCGGACGAGCAATCCTTGACGGCAAACCCACAGTCGTGGGAGATCTGTCCATACTGGCGACGAACGGCCGCCACTGTAGCGTGAGGACAGCCAATCTCTCATCTCGCCACCCAACAAACCACCCCCACCCAACCCGAAGGCTTCAATTTGCCCTCCATATCCAGTGTGGGGGGGGAACATTGAAAAAAAAACACATGTGGAACCCGTACCCCCCCCCAACCCGAAATTCGGGTCTTCGGGTTGGGTTGGGGTGGTCTGGTAGGTAGTCACTATCGAAGCGCATCCTTCTGACCTCATCGATCGGCAGATCTCGGCCCTTGCTCGGCTGCATGACAGGGAGGAGCGAAGCTCCCCTCTCGTCTCCTGGCTGCCTCCCGCCGCCTCCACTGGGCTTAAGTCGGGCCTGTCCCTCTACAGGGGGAATATTCAACAATAGTCAAAAATAGTCTGGGGACAATTTTCTGACTATTATTGATTATCTTTGGAGTATGGTTTGCGTATTTTCATTTTTTCGCCCCAAATCCCCTTGTAGGGGGACATGCCCGACCTAACACTAGGCCTCCTTACCTCAGAGGGTCACCGGCGGTGCCACCAGGTGCGGGGGAGGTAGTCATCGTCAGGGCGTCCAGCGCCTTCGTCAGGTCGGTCGTCCTGGGCGGCGCGATGGTAGCCTGGCCCACGTACCCGTAGCGGCGCAGCAGCTGGATCACGTTCTGGTCCAGTTCCCCGCGCGTCTCCATCGCGGCAGCGTAGGTCCAGAACTTGGCGCCCCAATGCGGGTCCACTGTGGCATTCCCATTGGAGGCGGTCAGGGCCGTCTTGACGGCCTGGGCGCCGCGGCATGATAGGCTGCTGGTCGTCAGCGGGCGGTGCAGCTGTCCTGCCTCCGTGGGATCCACACCCGCCCAACCAGCCAAGTCGGCCAAGGCTGCGGCCCCTGCGGGCGCATGCCACGTGCCTCCGCCTCCTCCTGCAGGGGGGCTCGCCCCCGCCGCTGCGGTGGGGATACCGTACGGTGGGGCACAGGGCGTGGCGGCAGGCTCGTCATCTCAGGCGGCGTCCTCGTGGCCCGAAGCCCGCATGGCCTCTCTCATGGCGGCCAGCTCAGCGCGTAGGGCCTCCATCTCCTGGGTCTGGAGGGGGTCGCCGACCGTTGTGGGCAACGTCCGCGCCACAGGCTGCCCAGGGCTAAGGATCCCGCCACCAGGCCGAGAGTCAGCCCAAGCAGGGCTGTGCGCCACGTCTCGGCAACGCGCACCATCTGGAAGCCCCCTGCACTGATGGCCCCGACCACACCCAAGGCCCGCCATCGCCAGGACTTTCGGGATGGGAGAAAGGACTCTGAGGGCGTATGGGGTCATTGCGGTGGAGTGCCGAGAACGGGTAAAACACACCGTAAATCCCTGCGTGCTTGTGCAAGCATGTACGACAACACACGCATATATTGCTCCCACCCTGCTGCCCCACCGTGCCCACCGCAAACTACCATTCACGAGCTCATTAAACCATCCAACACCACAGGATGGTTGGGAAGCAGTGATGTTTAGGGATATTCGACTCTGGCAATCATTTGTGTGGTAGGGATGGCGGGGGGATCCTGCATTGGTCCTGGTTGGCTGTCGGTCGCCTCGGGAATCAAGACATTTCTCGCAGACGCAAACTTGTTGGCTCACCCCACCCCCCGCCTTCCTAGCACATACGTCGTCCCCGGGACTCAGCATATTCAGCCATCGTCTTTGGATGGGTAGCTCCTTGAAACCAATTCAGATTCTAGGTGCGCGACGCTGGGGCGCGAGATACGCCACGCGACCCAGGGGCGTCACGCGTGCCAGGCGCATCCACGCGCATTGGGCGCGCCAGGCGCCCATAAGGCTCAAGCGTGCCAAGCACGCCTGGTGCGCCAGGTGTGCCACATACTCCGCGTGCTCCAAGAGTGGCGCTTGCTCCAGTAGCGTCAGATGCGCCACGTTCTGGGCACGCGCAAAGTCATGAAGTTTGGTGGGCCCGCCCTGTTTAAGACCAGTGCAAGGTGATCGCGGGGTGCCCGCATGTGACATTTTGCCGCGAAACGAAGCTTGCTTTGTTATTGAAAGGGATGGCGGCCCTGCTCACAGCACGCCACCTGCTGGCACGAGTACCCCGCCGCCCCTGTCAACAAACAGTACAGAATGTTCGCCGGTCCCCCGAATATGACCCCAACATGTTGCTGCAGAGTGCCTTCGGGATGTTTGTTTGACAGGGGTGGTGTGGGTCTCATTGTCCCTGATGTTGTTCGCCGGTCGGGTTGGGGAGGCGGTTTATTCATAGTGAGCATTGATCAACCTCTCCCCGAAAGGGAAGAAGGGAGGTTGGGAGAGGAAGCTCCCTAAACCACCTCCGCCCAGGTGGCTGGTGGGAGTTGTGAATTTCGAGCTTCACGAAAGCGCGGCGATCACCCACAAAGCGGCCGCAGACAAACGAATAAACGCTCAATGCGATTGCGGTTATCTTCGGCCTCGCCCCTTCCTCGATGGGCCCGTTTCTGTCCTGCCTGTTCTCTTCGCCTCGCCCCTCCCCTCTCCTGCCCCCCCCCCGGCCCCCGCAGCTGATCTTGCACTGCCTGCGAGGCTGCCAGGAGCCCCGCCGCCTGGGCCCCTGAGGCGGCGAAGAGGGAGGGGGAGCGGCAGGAGAGGTCGGCGGCGAAATCCGATCCCCACCTTCGCCGATCAAAGGTTCAGGCAATTCGATGGGCGGCGGGTGTGGAGCGAACAGAAACATTGGCTTGGCGAAGATTTCGACCATGTGCAGTTGTGAGTACCGCAGTTGTGGGTATCGTCTTCCGTGGAGCTCCCTAATTATGGGCCACGAAACGCTGTACTGGGTGGGGGGGGACGCATGCGAACTCTGCCACTGGGGCCTCTGGTGGAGCTCCCTATGGGGCCACGAAGCGCGATATTGGGCGGGGGAGGCGCATGCAAGCTTTGCCTCTGGGGCCTTCGGTGGGGCTCCCCGTGGGGCCACGACACGCTGTACTGGGTGGGGGGGGCGCATGCGGGCGGTAGCCCTGGGGCCTTCGGTGGAGCTCCGTATGGGGCCACGAAGCGCTGTACTGGCTGGGGGGGACTCTGAAGTGAGCTGGGCGTTGCATGTGAATGGGAACGAGCGTGCATCCGCGGCTGCTTGGCTCAAAGCGGCCGGCCGCTCAGACCTGACTTCACCTCAGCGCGAGGTGTACCATTTGCCATCGATACCAAGATTGTTTGAGATGGCTCGCCTCGTACTAATGGGACTATCGTTGCTACGGTACAACAGAGCTGGAGCTGGGCTTCGCCTAAGGCGAACCTGCTGGTTGGGCCTCCCAACCCCTTTCAAACTTGGTAGCGGGGCTGGCCTATGGTGGTCAGCTCTAGCTCTACTCCTCATTATGCACGGCACTATCCGGTGGACTACTGACGTGGCAGAAGATCAGGGTGCAGTGGGTTTGCGCGGAGGGGTGTATATAACTACGCAACGTACATAGCAAGGACACTTGAAGTGACACTTCTTTCTACGCGGAGGCCTCTTACTTGCGTCCTACATCCCTGCGCTACTGCACTCCTGAAGTCCACCCACCTACTCCAAGTGGGAACTTCTTCGGATACATAATGCATGGAACCATGCGATGCGACATTGTGCCGCCTCCACCCCCGCGCAGGCTTACGACCACATATCGAAAACCCAACCGACAGCATCCGACCACGACCTGCGAGGCCATTCGATTGGTATTACTCTCTTTGCGCTCGCATGGGTCGTTATCGGGTGTGCGGTAGGACATATGCGTGGCGGAGACGACACAAGAACGACCGTTCCCCATTGGGACCTGTCCGGTCAAGTACCTTTTCCGCGAATTCGTCCGCGAGGCACATGCCTGGATCAACGTGACCACAGGCAACATGACGCCCCCCCAACAAGCTGCAGCCTTGCAGCGAGGTTTGGGAGGCCTCGCACGGACCATAGCCATGAGAGTTCCCCCCGCAGTTATCAATTTTGGTGTTAAAATAGGTGGCCGACATACCGACGGCGCCACCGACATCATGTTCCTCTTAGGCACGAAGTTCGAAAATCTAGAAGAGGAGCGCCATCTCAACTCTGGTACAGCTCTCATCGACTTCCGAGTCCATGCGGGGGGGCGGATCGACCAGACTTTGGCGCGCTTCGAGATAGCCCGCTACGCAGCTGAAACGGCAGGCTTCAACATCCCCAACTTCCCAATTTAACGTTTATTTTATTCAGGGCCCTTGGAGTGGGGACATCGCGTGCGCAGCAACTCTTGCAGCCACTAAACCACCACATGCCGAGGGACCAGGAACAGTTTGACTCTCTACTTGAACGCATGAGGTCATATGCACACATTGCTGAGAGTAGGAGGAGTCGGCTTGCAGGGGGGGGCGGGCGCGGGGGGGGCGCCAACGACCGCGCCGATTCCATCGCGGCCCGCTGCCCCTCCCCGGGGCTCTCAGGAATCCCCCGGGCCCAGTCGGCCTCGCAGTCGGCGCCGGCGTCGCATCGCCCGCGAGCGCCGGCCGGCGGGCGGGCCGACCTTTTCTGCGCATGTCTGGCGCGAGAGACCCGCGCGGGCCTCGCGCTGTGCCCGCGCCCCAGGGCGACGGCCCAGGCCCTTGTAGCCTCCCGCGCTGACGCGATGGCCTCGCGCGCGGCGCAGGAGCGGGCGCCGCCGACCGTTCGGTTCGGTTCCGCGCACTTCTCATGCGAGAACGCAAAGCCCCCCATGCTGCTCGCGCGCTTTGCGCGCTGAGCAATGCGATGCAGTTGCGACGGCCGCGCGTTCAATTGGAAACCGCAGCGCAAGTTTCCATTCCCGCGCGCGGGGCGGGGCATGAACTTACAGATGCGCCGACGGTCGAGAACTCGCGCGCGCGCCCGCGCCTGCCATGTTGGGCGTGCGCACTGGGCCCGGAAATCTGCGGCTCGGCCGCCCGATGCGCCCCAAAAATCGCTCCGCCTCCCCCCCCGCCCCCCTCCCCCTCAAAACTCTTCCGCGCTCCTGGAAAAACCATGCCGCCGAGGCGGGGGCTCGGGCCGCGGCCTGATGGTCCCCGGGGCACAGGGGAATCAAAGGAATCAGTGCGGAATCAGTACAGAATCAAAACAGAATCGGCACAACTGCGACCCCTGATTCTAGCGGAATCAAAAGAATCAGTACGGAATCAATACGGAATCAAAGGAGGAATCGGCGATGGAACCAGAATCGGCCAGAACGGGGAAGTAGGCCAGAATCGGTGCCAGAACCCATGGAGAGAGGCCTTTTTCCCGCGAGTTCATTGCGGCGGGTCCGCGGCGCGGGCGCGCCGCGCGACTTCGCTGGTTCAGCGAGGCGCGCAGTCGGCGTTCAGAGTGAACAGGTTGTTTTCAGGGCGATATCCTGGCGGCGCGCTGGCGCATTGCGCATTTGCGTATTCCTGGCGGGCTGTTTGAGGGCGACCCGGCAGCGTCGGCCGAATGGCCCGCAAATACCGCGCGGCCGATCGCGCGCCCCACGCGGTCACGTCGACCGCCGTGTGCCGCGACGGCCGCGCGCCCCGGACCGCGCCATTGCCGCGTTGGATTGGACGGCGCAGCGCCCGCCCTCGAAAAGTCGTTACATGCATGTCGCGCGTGTCGAGCCAGCAGCAATCGCTCCCAGAAGCAGCCTTGACAGGCGCCCCATGCCCGTTGTCGCTTGGTTCCGATCCAAATCATAGTTTCTTAGGATGCGCTTGCGCGAATGTGAGCGCGCGGGCAAGTAACGCGCGCGCGCCAGGCGCAGCCTGGGAAATCCAACATGGAGCCCCCCGGGGGCGCGGGGCGCCGGCGACGCCTCCGCCCGCTTCCCGCGCGCCCGACCCCCCCCGCAAGCCGACTCCTCCTAGCTGAGAGAACCCCTAGCGATATTGGTGGCATTTTCAGTCACGGTCACCGAACCTAGATCTTTTGCGTTGAGGCAAACGCAGGGCAACCTGCTTATAACGTCTGGAATGACGATCCACAACCAACTGAGACCACTACACTACTGGCTCAGAACAGTGGACCGGCTTCGGGGTCGCAAGATCCGTGGGCCACGCCTCGGGGGCCGCCCGACGCGGCATCCCCTACGCAAGCCACAACCCTAATGGGTTCAGCGGGGCAACCTGCTGAGTCCGATTTCGACTGTATTGACGCCGACACGTCTTCGGACGACGAGGTTACAGCCCCTGACTATTCCGATATGCCCACGTACCTCACGGACGAGCAGCAGGCGCAGTGGTTATTTTTAGGATACCAGACATAAGCGCGGGTGGAGGCGATTTATGAAGAAACCAGCTCGCGAGGTGCGGCGTATCGCCCGACGGGAACTCAAGGGAAAAGGCAAGGGTCGAGGTATGGGTAAAGGTAAGCGTCGGCGATCGCATGGTAGAGGCACGCTAGCGTCCCTAGCATCCCTTACCAGGCCACAATACGAAGAGATATTCCTAGGTGCAGGCAGTAATCGTAGGCATGCATCAGGAAAAGGTAAGGGGCGTCGGGGAACCCCGAAGGATGCCAACAGTAACACTATGGAGTGCGACATATGCCAGAGCACACATCACTTTTGCCGCGCATGCCCTCAGGGCGATGGGAGAGGCAGAGGTCCGCCGATGCATCTGGCTCAAGCTGACTCGGACATGCAGCATGTTGATTGGGGGGTCACGTTTGGCCGACCCTGCCGATAGCTCAGTTGCAGTTGTTAACTTCATGTATGCCAGATTTTTGAGTGCCAGTCTGTCCCTCGAGAATTCTGCCGACGGGCTGTTCGAGGAGGTATTCATTGACCACAATGATATAGATATGGCAGACTGGCTGGGCACGCCCATCGCGGGGCAACCTGCAGAGATTGAATGCGTCGAGAACTTCCACATGCCCGCCGAAGGAGATGGCGAAATTGCGGGGGCGCCCGCGGATTCAGAAGCCACTATTCCTGCGACAGGGGAGGAAATACAGTTGATGCTTTATCCTCGGGTTATGGGCAATCCGACAAACATGGAATTGTGCGATGACGATCCTTCGCGGGGAAGCCCGCGAGATGTTAGCGACCTGTCTGAGCGCGTTCAGTGTGAGCTCGGCTACGATGAAATATTTCAATGCACATTTGCAGCTCCGGGCCGCTCCATGAGCCGCCAGGGGCGATCGGCGAGCCGCCGTTCCTGGAGACGCAAGTATCGCGCCGACGACGGTGACGAATAATGGGAAGATGGCGCTCGTCTGGCAAATTCAAGAGGCAAGGCCATTCGGTCAAAAAGAACAGGGGCTGTAAAATCACAGGAAGCCTTTATAAAGCGCGACCTCAAGAGGGCGATCGTCGAGGAACGACAACTTTGCAGAGGCGTTGCTTGCGCATGCCCCGAGCGTGCCGACCACGGGCTCGGCTGCCCCACGATGCGCCCATCAAGAAGCCCTAACACCCGCAAGACACTGTGGGTCTGGTATCATGGCAATGGTCGGGGTTGCTGCACCGATCCGAATGCAACGCCATGGAAGGAGCAGTTGACGGAAAGCTGTAAAGATATGGCAACACCTTCTCACCGTTTTATTCTTTCAAGATATTCAACCGCGATTGGAACGCGGGGAAACCTGCTTCGCCTAAATCAGAAGAAGACGACCAGC